TTCTAATAAAAGAATAGTTTTATTCACATTTCGACATGTGTCATCCTATTAAGTCTCCTAATTAATATCATGCCACTTGTCAACTTATTCATTTTCCATTTCAAAATTTAAATTTTAAATTTCTCACTCTAATTATATTAAATTAATAATATTAGAATAAAAGTTAAAATAGAATTAATACATATTATAAGGTGATATAATTTCATGTATTTATTTAAATCAACGATTATAATTTTATATAACTAAAAAAATATCTCTTAAATAATAATTTATTGAAAATAATTGATTAACAATTTTGAGTTTTTAGTATGAAAGATTAATTAATTTTGTAACCTGTGGTTCCCATGGGTTATAAACTTTTATATATATATATATATATATATATATATATATATATATATATATAAAATGTCTCAGACTACTTATCCCCTCTTTAAGATAATAATGTGGAGATACTGGGGAATTATTTATTGGGAAAATATTGTTTGTATATATCGAATGTTGCAGACTATTTATCCATTAAGGTGAGTCAAACTGAAATTAAATTGGCCGCTGATTATATGCGGTGTTGGGCGAGATATTATTCAGTTCCGATAAACTTATGTTTGGTATCCAAGACTTTAACTTCTATCACTTTCCATTTTAAAATGGGTAAGAATATCTCCAACAAATACATGTACATTTCCTCGTATGAACAACCCATCAAATTTCCATATGAGACTCACAATGCCAGAGCCTTCCGCTATCACAAGTCAACAAGACATTTTCTAGATTTATGATTATAGGTGGTGTTGAACAATTGCAACATAAAATCATTTTTCATCATATGATAACTGTTGAACCAATCGTACATACACTCACCCAATGTCAACAAACACTGAAACAATTTAAATCTTCTTAAGTTTTTTCCACTATTTCGTATTTATCATTCAACGTTTTCAAACATGCAAGATTAGGACCAAAAAATACATATAAGTTTCCTTGCATGAGTAATCCATTAAAGCTTCTCTATGAATCTTTGTTCATCAGTACCATAAAGACATTTCCCGTTACATTATCATACAAATAAACAGACGGGAAAAATTAAACCAATGTGAAGTAAAGCGAGGAACATATATATGTCAGATAGCTACCTCTTGCTCCAATAAAACCATATCAATGTTGTTCAATTCCAATGCCTTTAAGTACAAATATTGCTTCCTTAGTGAAGAACAACGCTGATTATGATGTTCCATCAGAACCAAAACGCACAAATCAACAACCATTAAACTATAAACATGAATAAACATAAACAAAATCAATAAGTTACGTAAAAAAAATCTTATGATAATCGTAATAAGCATATTGAACAAATTGTCTAAGATGCCTCATTTATAAACGCAAAAACCATGGTTACAATGGCAACTAGAAATATCAAAGGTTTCCATTAAACAAACAAATAAAACTTGTAACCGCATCCCACCAAAGAGTCTCTCCCAATCGAAAGACACATCAGAAAACAAATGTTTACCAGAGACTGTTATTCCCAGACAGAGCTTATTTAGGCGTTCCTTGTGGCCTAGCAACGAGGTCCTTGCGACAAATCAACAAAAGTCTGCTTAAGTTATATAAGATATAGATTTGTAAATATATAAAATATAGATAATAGTAGAAAACATATGTATATTTATATATAAATTTATAAATTATATACATATTTTCCACCTTATGTCATGCCTTAAAAAATGTCATGGTTCACCATACCTTCTAAAGCTTAAGGTTAGACCTTAACACCACGTCGCGCCTAAGGTTATTTAGAACCTTGCTCTCAATAGAATATCACCAAGTCACTTCCCAAAAGAAAATAAACTCTTACGCACCATCTTCTTAACATATAGACTTCCTAAACTTCCATCACCTTTAGAAGGTCCAAGTTCAACACCATATTCAAAATAAATAGGACTTTATAAAGGAATTTCAAGTAAAAGTTCCCAGAGAATGCATAACTTTGCTTCCTTCCAAACTCATATTCTCATCATACATACCTCTATTGATCTCCTAGCCTTTCTAACTTTTCGTGTTTTATAATTTTTTGAATTACACGCTGATTCTTCTGCCCATCACGTCTACCGTCGAGGTCACTGTCGAGAATGCCTCATATGGATGTTAATTGCAATGCATTGGAGTTTCCACATAAATTCAGCCTCATTTAATCATCAACTCATCCAATGGAAAATAGAAAAAAAAATCATCATCTTGAAGCATCATATTATGATAAAACAACACATAGATAAATCATTAACATCAACAACCATTTGTTGAACTAATCATGCTAATCCGTCTACTGATCTCCCCAAGTGATACCCCTGAATTGTTTCCATCAACGATCCAGAACGACAACCGGACAAACTAAATCCAGGTCAACAAGATGTGTCCCACTCATAACTCTCGGCATGAAAAATGGCATATAACAACCCTCGATAATATAAACCAGACAATAATAGAGAACTAAACCAAAGATAATGCTTACTCATTCCAACACCTTACTCCAAAGCACACACACACACACACACACACACACATATATATATATATATATATATATATATATGGCATGAAGAAAAAAAAAAGATAGCGTACCTGCGATAGCATCTGATGAAACTCTAGCCTCGCCTAATTGACACTGCAATGCTTGGCTCCTCGCTGCTGGGGCTATTACCCTACTCTTACGACCGTCACTGATCCTCAAAGTAACTAGGGCAGGCGCACTCACTGGTCCACCCCTCAACATCGGACAGTCGGCCTTCTTGTGGCCCACCTGGTTGCAGTGAAAACACATGGGAACTGATCCGTTGGGGTAATCCCTACTAAAATGACCCATCTATCCACAACTAAAGCATCCCCGTCATGTCTCTCGACATCCTCCCTCATGGGTCCTCCCACACTTGGCACAACGACCCCGACCCTGATGGCCTCCCAAACGTGAACCCTGAGTCTTGGGCCTCTTCACTTGGCCCACTGCGATCTGAGTCTGTCGTGGCCTCCTCTTTCCGAGGTGCTCCAAATCGATATCCCGCTCTCGGGCTCTAGAAATCATATCATTTAGGTCTTACACCCTGACAAACTCACAAACTCCCTGATGTCATCCTTCAGCATATATATCATGATACTTTACCTTCTTCATCCCCTCGTCCGCTGCATACTACGGAACCAACAAAGCTCTCTTTCTCCCGGAACTTGGTAGTGATTACTGCCACAGTCTTAGAACGAAAAGCGTCCAAGCGCTCATCCAAAATCTCCAGGATACCTTCCTTGACCTTACCGAAAATCACCGGAGTCTGCTCCAAAATATCGTAGGTGATCTCCGACGAGATGAACTCTTGCATCCGTTCATCCATCGGCTCAGTACCTGTAATTGAGCCTGAACCAGAACCTGAACCTCCTCCATATGTGCTCACCACCATAAGGAAAACAATCATATACACGATCAGAACATACCCAAGAATCCCCATCCAGCAGGCTTCCCAGACTCTCCGTGACTCTCCTCGATTCGAGTGTGGATCCTGTGCTTTCAGTAGTATGGGCCCAATACTACCTTTCACACTTATCCATACTCTCCTCAAGAATCATCCTAAATCCTCTAAGTCACCTTCTCAAACTGGTACTCCACGTACTCACTAAACAATGCATCCGAACCCGCTAAACACTTCCTAGGCTCTCCTAGGTTCCTCATTCCCACCCTGCCATCAGCTGCTGAAGAACTCCCACTAACGTCAGCTAACCACTTCATGAATACAACCACATGCAACAAAGCTCAGATAATCCTTCGAGTAAAAGACTCATCCCTACAACGGTTGGATTCAAACAAAAGCAGCGCAGTATGGCCAAATCCATCACTCTGAGATTATTTAACCTTAGCTACATGTGACTTAACATATTCACTTAATGGTTAGCTCACATTACTTACGAGTCCCACAAAGCACAAAGCAATCAACATTTGTGCAGTAACACTCCAAACCACAAGCCAAACAGAGGACATCTTAACTCACCTACCACCAATAAATATTTAGAATTTAACACATCATTCAAATCCTCTTAAGCTACAAAGCAGCAGATATCTGGCAATCCATACAACCCCCCTGACAATGCAATGCTCCCAGCACTAAATTCCTTCCTAGGTTTTCCTAAGGCTAAACCACACCACTCCCCGCTATCAGCTACAGAAGGAACTCCCCCTAACACCCCTTAACTAGCTCATGGATATAGTTACATATCACCGAAACCAGATAATTCTTCGAATGAAAGGTCTCACACTATAACGGTTGGACTTAAACAAGAGCTGCGCAACAGAGTTAAAACATAACCTCCTAAAATTATCTAGTCTTTAGCAATGTGTAAGTTAGCATATTCACTTACTAGTTAACTGATGTTAGTGAAAAAAACTCCTAGAAAGCACATAGCAAGCAACATTCGGTCACCAAGTAATCGGAGATCAAGAATAACCTAAACAGGCCATCCTATCACTAACTGATCAGTACTATCATGCAAGTCAACAGTCTCATACAACAGGCATACACCAGGCACCTGTCCTAGATCCTTAGCCCTAATCTAGCATGTAATCCTCATAACATATAACATAACAAACATGTATGGGTATTCTGGGAATCATTTACTTGAGCTCAACAGATTGCACGCACCATACCCCTTTATTTTATTAGAAAATCCTTTGATAAAATGTTTATTTTATGAAAAATTCACCAAACCCTCAGTTTGAGTTCAGACACACCCAAGAGTGTGCCTAAATCCCTCAAACCAAGGTTCTGATGCCAACTTGTAACATCCCAAAAATATAGACCAAAAATTTCGAATTTTAATTTAATAAACTGTAATCCAAAACATCACTATACGCCAAAGTGGAACAAAGTGTATCAAATACATCCTGAAACATCAGAGAAATCATAAAATGCGGAACGAGGTGGTGTGTGCACTGCCTTCATCCCGAGCTCTTTCCCTTTGAACCAAAAGAACCTAAAATATAAACTGAAAACCGTAAGCACAAATTTTAGTGAGTTTCCCAAAATGTCACATACCTTACATATCAAACATATAATGGGCCCCTCCCGGCATCGGGCCCCACCCGATATCGGTCCCCGCCCGACATCAAGCCCCGCTCGGTAAACATATATGTCAGTCATCAGTCTCCGCCTTGCAGCGGGCCCCGCCCTGTAAACATGCAAACACATAAACACATGCATAGATCACAAAGATAAATAGCCTACAATACAATCATAAGGCCCCGCCTGGCATCGGGCCCCGCCCGGTACATATAAAACACATAACACATGCAAAAGTCACGCATGCAACAAGCATACAAAGCATAACAAACCATGGGCCGACATTGGTGCCTTCGACCCGCTAAACATAGTGAGGAAACTCACCTGAAGCAATTAACACAGAGTAAAGCCATTGGAGTAGTTAAAAGACTGCCCATCTCCCTGAACACGTACATCCCATATTAATCATCTCTACTTAGCTCGTAACACAAGTATCACTTAATAATACTTCATAATATTTTCCTTATTCACTATTATTATTTTTATAACAAGCAGTGCATGCATAATTATGTGTTTCAATTATTAGGTTAAGCTTGTCTCTCTCTTTGACCAGTAGAATAGCCTAGCCTTTAGATAAGGCATACTAATTATAATTAATCAACTCGTTAAATAATAAAATCCATGTTTTGTTATCTAATATTACCCAATAGCTATCAAATAGATATTATCTTAATCCACACAACTTAATTAGTCATTAAACTCCTCTTATAAATTATTAAACCACAACCTACCTTCATAATATTTCCATGTTTTTGAAATCTTAATAATCATGCAATTAGATTTAATTAGCCCATAAAACCTTTCCTTCTTCATATTAACATTCATTCTAACCCAGTAATCCCAATTTCATTAGTCATACCTTTATGTAGCCCACTAAGTCAAACCTAATTTCAAAAGTAGGAAAGAGGGTCAAACAGATGTATACCTCCTAACATTGAAGTCAAACATGAGCTTCTTCATCTTGTAATCGGCATCCTCCTTCCACTCCGGAGATATCTGCTTCTCCGGCGACATCAACTCCTCATCTGATGCCTTCTCACTAGAGACATTATCCTCTCCGGTAACAGCAAAATAATCCGAGCACTCCACCTGATGTGGGGTCATTAGATGTGTATCTAAAAAACGTGAAAGATCAATGGAAATCATCCCGCTACAATGGTTCACCTAACTATTCTTGTTCGAATACTTAGCTTGATATCGGACCAGAAATGGTGGTTGCATCCCTTCTAAACAACTTGATGATAAACCCATTCGAACAGGTCAGAAACGATGACCTTGAACCCGAAATCAGCACCTCGCATGGAGCCCTTAGTTGTTCTCTCTCTCTCTCTCTCTCTCTCTCTCTCTCTCTCTGTCTCTCTCTCTCTCTCTCTCTCTTGTTTCCAGCGAGAGCTGAGGTCAACGGTGAAACACGGCGATGACAGCTTCACCCTTCCTCTCAAGTTTTCGTTGTGCGGCGCACCCTCTTAACCTTAGCTCTCATTACAATAGTAAGAGGGTGTTTGGCTTAACTTTTGAGAGGCCAAAAGTCATTTTAGGAAAAGTTGCAAAAAGTCATGTTTTCCTGACTTTTCCAAAAAGTTCATTTTCCTTATATCCAAAATTCAAAAGTAGCTTTTAAAAGTGCTTTTACCAAACATTTTTTACCTTTTATCTTTTCCTAAAATGACTTTTGGCCTCTCAAAAGATAAGCCAAACACCCCCTATATATAAGAAATTATGGTTGGCCATCAGATTGCTTTCAAGAAGACGTGCTTCTCGGACGATACAAAAAGAGAAGGAAGCACCGGTTCCTGTCGGGTAGCAGCCTAGCAGGGGAGGAAGAAAAAACAGAAACCACGATTTGGCAGTTATGGTCCCTCGGGTTTAGCCTTATGACAAAATCTACCTTATATTGAAATATCTCATCAAAACTGATTTCTTGAAAATTACAGTTTAAACCCTATACATATGTGTTTAATTTGTACTTAATAAATATTGTTTTACTTTATTTATTATCATTATTAAATATCAAAATCTATTAGATTTGTATTTTAACATTTATTACTTTATTATTTATTTCACTTAGGCTTCTAATTTATATAGACACCATTTTAATTCGCTAAACCCTTATATATATATATATATATATATATATATATATATATATATATATATATATATATATATATAAAAAGATAAATAAATAAAAATGACAAAAAAATGGGGCATTACATATATAATATTTTTTTGCTCACCAATGATCTTTAACCAAAGCTTACACCGATCACATGTTAATATTTTGTTTCTAGAAACTCTTCCCCCAAATTTGTTAACATTTGCATGTTCAAGATTATTGAAGTGGTACAAATCTTAAGTTGCTAGATCCTCATCCATCAGTGGTGGCCACAAAGTTACTGGAAAGAAAGCAATTTAGAGACTGTGGAAAGCAATTCAACATGATAGCTTGCTCTTGGTTACAGTTCATGATTCATGACTGGATTGATCATATGGAGGACACCCATCAGGTCCCATTTATCATATTGATAACAACGATATTTTAAATTACTTCTCCATCATTCTACTTCAAAAAACCTTCTTAATCATATTGGAAAATTATATTCTACACATCAAAGTCCACCTCACGTTTTCTGATCAACAATGCCCATGTGACAGATTGAAATTGTAGCTCCTGCGGAGGTTGTCGGTCAGTGTCCCTTGAAGTCGTTCAAGTTCTATCGGAGCAAAGAAATTTCGACAGGATCGCTTCAACCTAACACTGGTTTCATTAATAGACGGACACCATGGTGGTAAGTGGGCCATATGTGAATGATTTATGGTTTGACTCTATACAAGTCAAATCACATACAGCTTGTGTTATATCTTAAGAACTGATTTGAGCAGGGATGGAAGTGTTATTTATGGAAATGACGAAGCGGGTATGCAAAAGGTAAGAGCCTACAAAGACGGAAAGTTAAAGATTTCGAGAGATGGACTTCTTGAACATGATGACATATGGATTCCTATATCGGGCGATATACGAAATTGTTGGGCTGGTTTCTCCTTGTTGCAAGCTTTATTTGTCAAAGAGCATAATGCTATTTGTGATATGCTC